TGCAAACCGATATTTTAAAATACGAACTCAAACTCTTTATTTGATTGAGTTCCTCTAGGCTTTTTTTTTTTTTTTTTTACATCTTGAACATTTGTTCTAATACTAGTTCATGAGTAAAAAAATCATCAATCAATCAATCAAATATCCAAGCGAGCAAAAATGAAATCAAATCATAAATGATCTATTCAAGAGATAATAATTTAACATGATTCAATCTAATCTAAAATAGTCTATATCTATAAATGAAAAAAAAAATCTATCAGTTATTGAGAATTACAAATATACAATCAAATCAATCCCAAACCAATCTCTAATAATCCCAATTCAAATATTTACATATAAACCCATGTAAACCCTCTCATTCTTCTAATCTACTCACAAATATAATAATCATCATAGCCATGGACTATTTTATTCTTCAATTTTATGGAGTATTCACACACTAAATATTCAAACATATACACTTATTATATATACTGTTTTAATCTTTTGTGATTTTATAAGATATTTATTATGATAAAATTTATAACTCTCTTATATTTTTCTCTCATATATTACCTTATAAAGACTTACAATATATATAAGCTTACTAACTTGACTATTAAATTTTTTTTTTTTTTTAGAAAATTTCTTTTAGAAAATTTTTTTATCCATCAAACAATATGTAATCAATCTCAAAAAAAATTAAAATAAATCTTTTATAAAATTTGAGTTACTATTTTCAATACTTTAATTGAAATTGATAAAAAAATAAATAGCAAAAAAAAGAGAAAAAATTGATTTCTCTTACCTATCCCGTCTCTCCATCTTTTTTTTTTTTTTTTCAAATTAAGGACTCCTTGCCTTCGTGAAAACAGAAGAAATCATGTGGGAAGAAAAACTTGGACGACACGTGGACAACTAATGTCCGAAGAAACTTACAAAATTTATTATATGGATTACAGGTGAGAGCATCCAATTTTATCACCCTACTTATAATATGATGGTAAATTTCAGATTTATTCAATGATTAGTGTCTGATTCTTTGTTCAAATAGTTGCATTTAAATCTCACTTTCCCAAATAAAAAAAAAAAATTAGCAACAACCTTGGTCAATTGGTAAAGTGTATATGATTATTTTATTTCTAACAACTTTAAATATATAAAAAAAAATAAAATTTACCACTCATCTTCAAACAAATATAATTTTATCATTATACTTTTTAATTTAATTAAAAAAATTACATGTTTAAATATTAAAAAAAATCACTTACATTGATATAAATCTTATTCTTTTTTATTTTTGAATAAAAATAACTAAAATTAAAAATATTAGTTTGATCCAAATTAGTTATGAATTTAATTTTAATTCAAGAATAAAAAAAATAAGATTTACACTAGTTTAAATAAATTCTTACTCTTAATTTTTTCAATTGTTTTGTAAAATATTTTTATACTTAACTTTTAACTAAAGATGTTCTTCGCAAAACTCTAGTGAACCAAGTTAAACCAACACCTTAAAAATTCAAGCTTCACTTTGTTCCACACATTCAACTTAACATATTAATAAAATATTTTTGATATTTTTTATTATATTTAAAATTTAAAATTTAATAAAAATATATTATTTATTATAAAATACTTTTAAAACTTACACCTAAACATCATATGTAAGGAATCAATTAAACTCAAGCTTCTGACTAGGAATGGCAACCTAACTCATTCTTAACAAGTTTCAATCTAACTTGATTTTTTATAATTGATTTTTTTTTTTTTAAATCAAGTTTTGAATAGGATAATTGTAGAACAAAGTCGAAATTAAATTTTAGGCAAACTCACTCCAATCCAGTATATATATAATTATTTTTTTAATTTTATATTTATATATATTTAGATATTTATTTAATTTTATATTTATATTAAAAAATAATATTTTATTAATTTTAGATTGGGTCAGATCGAGTCAGATTGAGTACTGTTTTATATAATATCAAATTAGGTTGGGTTCGAGTATAAAAAATAAAAAAAAATCATTAAGATGGGTTGAGTTTAGGATGAGTAAAAATTTACTTTATTCCGAACCTATCTATTAGCTTAGCTTGTAAATATTTTTATTAACTCAAATTGATAATATTATTCCTTCCTTATCATAATATTTGTTTTTTTTTTTTATAATTTTTACAGAATTTAAAGAAAATGATTTCACTTTAGTCTATGTAATATTAAATTTATTTTATTTTATAAAATTAAGTTTTGATAAAAATTAAAAAAATAAAAATAATTTTAGAATATAAAAAATAAAATCATTAATTTTTTAAAAAAATATAATTTTAGAATATTTAAAAAATAAAAAGTGAATAAATAAAATGAGACGAATAAAGTAATAAAAATTACATCCATTGATAGCTAAATGATAAATTTCATCCATCAATTTAATTAAACTTTATGTCGAATTATATAAATAGTTTTGCCATTCAAGTCTCTTTTGTTGTTAACTTTTTTCCTTCTACATCTAAGAGCGTAAAGCAATAATGCTATATAATATTTATTTTCTTAAACAAATATGATATTGATAGGTGAAGCGGAAGAGAATAAAATAGAAAAGAATTAAAAGAAGAAGAAATAAAAAAAAAAAAAAAAACTATCCCCACTGTCCTTTAAAAATGGAAACTAGCCTCAAAGCCATCACCGCCTACAGAGGACAGATCACCGTTCAGAAATTCAAGGAATATTCAAATTGCACACGTTATTATGAGTCTCAAACCTACTCTCATAACCGACGAAACAATCATCACACGCTACTTTATCCGCCAAATGGCTATTTTGATATTCTCAGACACGTGGTTAACCCACATCGCGACTTTCTAACAGCGACAGGTTTCCACAAATAGCCAAGTCATCGTGGACCCCACCTAATGATAGATAAGCGTCCTGGCATTCACATTTTTAAACAATTTCTAGAATAAAAATGCAGCAGCATATAACGCTGATTAGTTGGAACAATTAAAAATCTTCCGGCTTTAATCACCGTTGCGTTAATGTGATCATGTACCCATCACCGTTAACTCAGCCGCTATAATTTAATAGTCCATAGGGGGATGTATATTACATTATTAGAATTTTAAACGGAACTCTTTTCTGTTTCTAAATTTGGGAAAAAAAATTATCCTTATCCGGTGAGCAGAATACAAGCTAAGCTACATTCCATTAATGGAATAAAATATTATTAGTGTAACAGCATTCCATTAATATTTGCTTACATTCATATAATTTATCCCAAAAAAAAGTTTGCTGCCAATGTTTGTTTATAACAACATATATATATATATATAAGATTTACAATAACGTGATGTATTAATAAAAGAAATATAATATTTGATTATAAAGCAAATTTGTGAAATTTCAATGTTATATTTTTCTCTAAACGTTTTATATAAATTACATAAATGAAATATTTTTTTATGATTAATTTTTGTTTAGAATTAAACTAACTTAAAACGACAATCGACAAAAGTAAAGTGACAATATTGATAGATAATATAATTATTTAATGATTAGATTTTAATTTTTGGTACATTCATTCGTTAAACACAATTAAAAATTTTATTATTACTATAGATAGGAAAAACAAAAAAAAAAAGAAAATTGATGATAATAATAGTGTTAAAAATTTGGCCTTAATTTAGATAGTATAGTATTTTGGTGATTAAATAACGCATTGAGATATATTAATTTTTTAATTTTAACATTCAATAATTTATCAATAAAATACACTAATGTTGACCAAATTTTTTTTTTACCAAAATAATTTTATATTTATAAGCTTAGCAATGCGGTTCCATTGTTTTCTATGAGAAATAAATTTACTTGTGACCAAAAAAAAAAATTTAATTAAAATTGAGTACATGTACCAAAACCGCAAAATTGAAAAACTAAAAGGGCTAAAAGATAATTTGACAAAAAGAAAAAATCCCTGCACAACAATTATATTAAATCCCTAATCAAAAAACAAAATTCCAAAAAAAAAAAAATCCAAAGAAATTCGTATCATCTATAATATTATATTACAATATACATTAAAATTTGATAACATTTGTTTATGTTGATGTTTAAATAGACCATCTATATTATTTACACGTAAGATATTTTTAAATAATTTTATTTAATCAATTATTTATTTTTTAAAAATTTTAAATTTTACATTTATCAAAATTTTTTAAAATATATAAGATTTATCTTAATTTAAATATAATAAAATATATCTTCTCATATTTCATTCTTACCCAATTCAAATAGTTTTTAAAGGTTAAATTCTTATATTTTAGGAATATCGTCTAAATTAATATTTATATAAATTTAAATAAATAAAATTTATGATTGAACCACTGTTATTTATTTATTTTTTGTCTTTATTTTTTATAATTTAAAATAAAAAAATATTTCATCTCAATTTAAAATTACACACATATCTAAATTTAAAATTATACTAATTTTTTTATCTTAGTTTAAAATTAAACTTGGATAAACTAAATTTTTAAAAAATTAAATTTTTTTCAATTAAATAATTATAAAATATATTTTACAATTTTTTCTCACAATCAAAATTTTTTTGGTCATAAAAGTTTGAAAAGATAAAATTTCAAAATTAAATATGAAAAAATCTTTCATGATATATCACATATGTAAATCTTAATTTATATTAAAATAATATATACTTTTAAAAATTTATGTAATTATGAATAAAAAATTATATTTCTCATTGATATTTGTATATAATTTTACTTTCATAATTTAAAACTTTCATAATACTTATTTAGATTCTTTCATAATCATTTATATGTAAACAATTTTTTAAATTTTAAATTACAAATTACAAATGATTATGATTATTTTTATTTATTTATATATAATATAAAAATTAATATAAATTAAAATTTTAGATTATAAAAAATATAATAAAAAACTCCGTACATGGCACGGGTAAAAAAAAACTAGTTCCTATATATAGGTAATCAGGCATGGGTCCTTTTATCTCTTCTTCAAAACACAAGCTCCAAAAACAGAAAGCGACCCAGCAGACCAAAAAAAAAAAAAAATTCATCTTCCCAAATTAAATCTCGACAAATTGTTCTTCTTCTTCATCTTGTCCTTTCGATATTTTGCTATTTTATTTTGATTTTAGTTTAAAAGATGTCATCGAATGAAGAACTATCTTCAAAAGTGAAGGCACGGTTGGCCGTTCTCTCTGCTCATTTAGCATCTCCTGGTTCGTCCTCCAACGACCTCACCTTCACCATCCTCGAGCCATGGTGCGTCTCGGCTCAGACCGTTGGCTCTGTTGGCGGTTCGTTAACCATTCTCGACGAGCGAACCGGCAAGAAGTACCAGGTCCCTGTTTCCAAAGACGGCACTGTCAAAGCTACCGATTTCAAAAAGGTTTTATATTTATTTAAAAGTTAAACGGATTTGTTAGTTTTTTTTTTTAAAAAGAAAATCATCTGATTTTGATTTGAACCTTGAATTTAATTGCAGATAACAACAGGGAATAATGACAAGGGGCTGAAAATTTATGATCCGGGTTACTTGAATACTGCTCCGGTTCGGTCGTCGATTTCTTATATAGATGGAGATGAAGGGATTCTTAGATACAGAGGGTACGCAATTGAGGAATTGGCTGAGAGTTCCACTTTCTTGGAAGTGGCCTACCTCTTAGGTAAGCTTTTTACAAATAAAAACACCCCTTTCATTATGCAAACTTTGATTGTTTCAAAATTTTCTATGGAAAATAGATTAAATTCGTGCATCTATGTAATTTTTAAAGTGATCGGTCTGGTTGAGATTTCCCGGAAACTAATTTGGTGTACCTAACATTATGCACATGAAATTGCATGCGTGGGATTCGAGGATTAAATTATATGCAAATCCCACCTTGCAAAGCTATTATCTTATTTGGTGAAAGATAGTTCACACCTGCGAAGTCAATTGAAATCTTTAATGGATCAAAGAAAACAGTTGGTGATGCCCATTTTAAATAGATGCATATGGAGATTGTATGTAAATCCTGTGACATGCTGTGTCATGAAGATCAATATGGGGTTAAGGCAAAACCCTTTTTGATTAACTAATAATTCCCTGACTACTATTTGAAGATAAAATCATATTTGCCTGTCTCTTTCAATGTTGATATGACAGACAGGAATTTAACTTAATAAATCAATTGCAAACTATTTCAACAATGGTTTTATCTAATTATCTGGAACTAATAAAGATTTATATTCATGTGTCTTTGATTGCAATTATGTATTTGTTTATCTGTTCAGTGATGTGTTTTAAATAACTTGCTTTCACTTTTTCAGTGTATGGGAATTTGCCTTCTGAAGGTCAGTTAGCAGACTGGGAATTTGCTGTTACTCAGCATTCGGCTGTGCCACAAGGGATTCTGGTATGCTTTTCTTTCTTCTAACAATAATCCATGTCTAATCCTAGTGATGCTGCAATCTGTGTGATGTTTATAAGAGCAGGTTCCCTTGCTTTTCTAATTTCTTTGGTTTAAGGGCCAAATTTCTGATTTTTTTCGGCAATAATACTAACTGAGCTCTGTCCTGATTGTACAACAGAATTTCTTCAACTGTTTCTTGTTTTATCTGTTTTGTAGGACATTATACAATCAATGCCTCATGATGCTCATCCAATGGGTGTACTTGTCAGTGCAATGAGCGCTCTTTCTGTCTTTCATCCCGATGCTAATCCTGCTCTCAGAGTAAGTTGATGGTTAACTTTCAACAAATGCTTTATGAAGACTCATTTTAAGTTGACACAATTGCAATAGCTTTTTGCACCCTCATGGATTTGGGTCTATAAGATTACATAGGTAACAAAAATAGTGAAAAGTTATTTTTTTTTTATGGAAGAAAAAAATATGATAAGTGTGCCAAGTGGTTTTAGAATTATATGGATTCTAAGATCACATTGTTATAAGACACTGGATATTACATTTTACCTATATTTTAAGTTGCCTGTCTTGAGGGTCTATTTCACATATGTCAAAAGTGATTAAAGAAATTAACTCAGTGGAGGCCAACTCTCTCTATCTCTCTTTCTTTATATATATGTTATAAAGAGAGAGAGTTGGCCACAACTGAGTTAATAAATATGTATTCTGTGAGGTAGCCCCTTGCAAAAGGGTCAAAAACTGAAAATTAGGGGTTTTGACCTCATCCTTACAACATAAGAAAGTGCTCTGGCAGTATGGCTTGATTGAAGGCAAATGTAGTTTTAACACCATCCAGGCCAGATTAGAGCACATTTTTTGTGGGAAGCAATTGTAGAAGCATTAAAATCTGGACAACTTGCAATAACCTCCTGTTCTGTTTGTTAGAGAAAGACTCTGAGGTATCTCCTCATGCTAGTTCAGGCTTAAGTTATTTGCAGCTTTACTTTGTGTAGCATCTTTAAGACATCAACTTCTGCTGTGCTTTTTAAATAATAACTTAAAAATCTTTCTGGGATTATTTTATTCTCCTAGTTTGTCTGGTGTTTGATCATAGACCTACTATTAATGCAGGGCCAAGATCTATACCGGTCAAAACAAGTGAGAGACAAGCAAATAGCACGCATTCTTGGAAAGGTTTGTGCATTTAATTCCTTTTCCCCTCTTTGTGTCTTTTGTACTCTAAAGCAGTTGATTCATTTCATGAGGAAATGACTTTAACTGTGGCCCATGAACTTGTTATTTTCATCTTGTCCTATGGGTTTTGGATTGTCACTTATTTTCATTCTGTTGAGAGATCAGTACAAAGCTTTATTCTGTTTGCAGGCACCAACCATTGCTGCAGCAGCTTATTTGAGGATGGCAGGAAGGCCTCCAGTTCTTCCTTCCAGCAACCTTTCTTATGCTGAGAACTTTCTCTACATGCTAGACTCAATGTATGTCCTTTGGAACCTTTAATTCTCTCATTAATGTATTGGCTACATTTACGCATTACTTTGGGAAATTGTAACAGTTATCTCCTTGCTGCTAAATTTTCTTTTCGTTGATAATTTTTAATGCTCTTTTATCTGGTCATCCTCATCTAGGAGGCCATGAACAATCAATACTTATGCTATTACCTGGTGTTCATTCAAGAAATGCAAGGTTTAGGCCTACCTTTGCCTAACTACTGTATTCATTTTGATAACTTTCAGGGGCAATCGGTCTTACAAGCCCAACCCCCGGCTAGCTCGAGTGCTGGACATTCTTTTCATACTACATGCAGAACATGAAATGAATTGTTCCACAGCCGCTGCCCGGCATCTTGCATCAGGGTAGGTCTATTAATGTTATTGTCTTACTGTGCTAGAACAACCAAAAGTTTTGTATTAAATATTTGTTTTTGCATCTGCTTCTGCAGTGGAGTTGATGTATACACTGCTCTAGCTGGAGCTGTTGGAGCACTATATGGTCCTCTTCATGGTGGAGCAAATGAGGTATGCAGAACCAAATATTTGCGGTTTCACAATAACTCCATTCTTATTGCTAGTTGTCTGGAATTCAATTTCCAACAGAATGGTGTTATAATATGCTAGTTCAGACTAAACAATTGCACTTGGGCTGCTCTTTGTTTATTTAAGTGTATCAATTCTTTTTTTCTCTTGAGCTGTTTGTGCCGGCAGTACCTGAGCTTGTTTTTGTTCTCTGGGTTCATATAGGCTGTGCTCAAGATGCTTAGTGAGATTGGAACAGTTGAGAACATTCCAGATTTTATTGAGGGTGTCAAGAACAGGTGAATGCTTCATATGCATTTTGCTGTTAGTTAAAGTGACAGGAAGCTAAAGGTCCTGCATCCAGAGCTGTATTTTCTTTCAAATGTTTTAGTTATTTTCAAATATATCTTCATTTCTTTAGGAAGCGGAAAATGTCTGGTTTTGGGCACCGTGTATACAAAAACTATGACCCCAGGGCAAAGGTGATAAGGAAATTGGCAGAGGAAGTTTTTTCTATTGTCGGCCGGGACCCTCTTATTGAGGTGTTTATCTACCCTCTAAAAATTATATTCTTTTGCATAAAGCATTTATTCTTTTCTCATGCCTTATCTGTTGCATGTTTTTCCAATCACTCCATATTAAACTTGTGCTTGTCAATGGTATGTAAGCTGATCAGATATGATAAGGCATAGAATGAGAGTTCTGTTATGTTTCTGAAAGCTGGTTGTTTGGCATTGATCAAGGCATTGACTTAGATGGCAGATTCTGTAAATAGTATTTTCTTTTCCAAATATGGATTAAATTAGTAGGGTTTAAATAAAATTTGTTAGTACTTTATAGTTGTAATTTAAGAGACATTTATACACTTGTCTATGATTTCTTTGTTTACTGTAAATGATTTAATATGCTTTTTTCTTCCCTTTCATTTTTTGCATTGCAGGTAGCTATTGCTTTGGAGAAGGCTGCATTGTCTGATGAGTATTTTATTAAGAGGAAGCTTTATCCAAATGTTGATTTCTATTCTGGACTAATATATCGGTAAAGACATGATTATTTTCTTTGCGTACCTTAAAAAACTAGACAAATGCATAAGATTTTGTTAGTTTTCTTCCTTCAAGTGTTGGACTGGTGATAAGTAAGGTTTTTTTTCAACAGAGCAATGGGATTTCCTCCGGAGTTCTTCACTGTGTTATTTGCAATCCCTCGAATGGCCGGATACTTGTCACATTGGTGTGAGTCTCTAGATGATCCTGATACAAAGATAATAAGACCACAACAGGTGAGTTAATAGTTCAGACTCAAAGCCATGTTATTATAATTATTACTATGATGATCATGATCATGATGGTGCAAATGAAATATTATTGACATGTTCATTCCTTGCTTCTTGGCATATAAGGAAAGGTGTGTGTTATTTTATAGTCTATTGTGATTTGTTGTGAAATCTACCTAAATAGTGTAGAAAACACTTTAGAACATTGAAACCAAGGCTTCCAAAACTTTTTCCTTCACATCCCACCTTTTGGCTGCATAAGTGGCCTAGCCACTAAGTTATAGGAATTATGAAATTTTGCAATGTGATAAAATACTTTTGAGAGTTACTAAAATGCCATTTCTTGGTCTCTCTTATTCCACTTGAATTTTCAGGTTTATACTGGTGTATGGCTAAGGCATTATATGCCACTCAAGGAGCGCATGGCGTCAACTGAGGCGGATAAGCTTACTCAAGTATCCATATCAAATGCCTCAAGGCGGCGACTGGCTGGATCTGGGGTTTAGCTTATATAGAAGGCATTGCAAGTGAAATAAACGGCACAGATATCGCCAGGAAAATAAATGTACCATTGTCAGTTGCTTTCTGAATCAAAAGAGTATTTTTGGCAGAAGCTGATACATTGGCCCCTTGTTATTATATACCTCTTATTGTTAGGAACCAATGTCACATAATTTAGACCTTAAAATAATTATGTTGGAAATGGTAACTTGTTTATGTTGTAGTAGTTTGAGATTTTCTGCATCAAGTATAAATGTAATGTGTAACGCATTTGCTAGCTAGCTTTGGCCCACTGCTCTGGGGCGTGTGTAGGGAGAAAGAGTTGCACCCTAGATTAGGATTTGAAACACTCTAAACCACTCTCTTGCTTAGGGGTGAGCAATTTTAGTTTAAAACCAAATTAACCGAAGAAATTCGTTTAAAATAGTTTGTTTAATTTGATTAATTTTGATTTATTTAGACGGATGATAAGATTAATTTCAGTGAAATTAAAAATGAAAATAATAGTGATGATGAGATTAAGTATTGCATATTATAATCGGTACATAAGATTAAATTCGATGATTGGATGTGTTTGAATAACAAACTAATTGTAGTGATAGAGATAAAAATAAAAACTTGGAATGTATTGTTTGCTAACAATACCTTCTTCACATTCTTTTGGAGGGCTAGCAAAACTGGGAAGACCAGCAACCATATTTTTATGATGAAGTTTCTTTAAACCACTCAAATTCAAATGATCATAGTAAAAATGCCATGGCTAAGCCGCTTCGCTCAATTTTGCTAAGATGCATGACCAATTAATGTTATTGAGATAGAGAGGGAACATCTTGTTTGTGGTCATTGTAATTTGAGCAATTAACTAATTTAGCATCTTGAATTCGACATATTTATGTATTAATAAATTACATATATTTTTATTTTTTATAAATTATTAATATATTTTTATAAATTATTAAAACTAAAAAATTAATTTAATTATAATAAAAATTATTATTTATAATTCATTTTAGATTTTAATAAAAATATATTTATTAAAATAAAATAATAAAATTCTTAATAATATATTTTGAGTTAATAGTATCTGTAGTTCCTAAACTTTGACTTAAATTTTATTTAAAAAAATTCTAATTAGATCTTTAATTATCTAAAGTTATCCTATTTGATCATTCCGTTTTATGAAATCATCTAAATTTGCAACAAATATTAGCTGGTATCACGTGATAATGTCAGTTGTAACTCACGTGATAGATAAGGGATCAAAATAAAATTCTCTTAAAGTTTAGGGACAAAAAATGAAACTATCTAAAAATTTTTATAAATTTCATTTATATTTTATAAAATATTAAATTTAAAATTATAAAAATTCAATAGCATTTTAAAAACAAAAAAATTATTTTCTACTAAAAATACTATTTTACTTAAAAATCATAATAAAAATATTTTCTATCCATAAAATATATATTTTAAAATATTAAATATCTTTTATTTTCCTTTTTCTAATATATTTTATAAAAAATAAATAAAGGAAAAGATAAAAATAATTCAAGAAAAATTGATTTTTATATATTTCAAATATTTTTTATAAAATATTATTATTTAAATTTTTTTATTTTTTATTATGACATGATTTATCAATAAAATAGTATTTTTAATAGAAAATAGATTTTTAGAAAAGTAAAATTAAGTTTAAAATTTCAAAATAATTTTGTTAAAATTACATATCATTTTAAAAAATTAAGTAAAAATTTTTATATCGATTTAAGAAATTAAATAAAAACTCTATATCATGTTAAAATATTATATAAAAATTTTTAGATCAGTTTCAAAAATAGATTTATTAATTTATTCAAAATATAAAAACTTTATATTCATATAAAATAAAAAATATAATTTAAAATGTTTTTTTTAATTTTTTTATAAAACGTATTTGATAAAATATATAAAAAGGAAAAATATAATATATTTAATACTTTAAAAAATAAATTTTTTGAAAAGAAAATAATATGTTTTATTATGACTTATGAGTAAACTAATATTTTTAATAATTTTTTGTTTTTGAAATTTATTAAATTTTAAAAAAGAAAATTTGAAAATTTTAACTTAATTTTAAGTTTTGAATATCTATTTTTTATTTAAAACAAAAATCTATGTAATAAGTTATATTATAACAAAAAATATGCAAATATAATTTTAATATTTTTATAACATGTATAATATATAAAATTTTGAGATAATTTCATTTTGGGTCTCTAAACTTTGAGAGAATTTTATTTTGATCTTTTATCTGCTATGTGAGATGTAGCCAACATTATTATGTGATGTTAGTTGGCATTTGCTGTCAATTTAGACAGTTCTATGGATGAAATAATCAAAATAAGATAATTTTGAAAAATTAAAAATCTGATTAAAACTTTTTAAATTTTAAAGACCTAAATAAATTTTGAATTAAAGTTTAAAGACTATGAGTACTATTAATTCATATATTTTGTACACTTTAGCTGTCATATGTTTGCCATATGTTAGACGTGCGGCGCTAATTAGGATTTAAAGTTAGATTTAACAGCAAAATTAATTAGATGATATTTTTTATATTTGAAATTATTAGAATTTGAACTTTTAACGTTAAAATTAAGAGTTTAGATTATACGTGATGTATAGATGATAGATAGAATAATATAATAATTTTTTTATATTATGTTTAGTTTGTATATAATTAAAATAGATATGATTACAATGAGGATTATCATTTTTTTTTTGTATAAGATAATTTAATTCTTTTAAAGTAGAGAGAATTATTTTTAATTTATGGGATTAAACTTATATATCTTATTATATTTTTAAAAATTACATCAATAATTTAAATTTATAAGTTTTAAAAAAAGATAATTTTGAACAATAAAAAATTATTTTATTTTAATCATTGTACATATCAAACATAAGATATGATGATATTATTTAATCTAATTTTATTTATCTTATTTTATCATATTTTTTTATACTAAACATGACCTTAATATTTTATCAATAGATTACATGATTGATATCAAAGAAATAATCATTTTATTAGAACATATGATAAGGATTAATAAATTAATTTCTTTTTATTTTAAGAATCAAAACAATATACATTTATTAGGATTATAAGTGTATTTACTCCTAAAATCTGATTGGATCATGATTGTTTCACTCATGAGAAAAATTAGATTTTTTCTTGGAATCTTATTTTTTTAAAACGTGATTCTCATATTCGGTTCATAATATTTGATTATTAAAAGAATCTAAAATTCTTATCATTGCCCAAATGTCTCAAAATAAAAAATCTACCTTGTCTTATGATTTTTAAGATTCCAAAAGAAAAATTACTTTTGTTTTATATTTAACCTTAATAATAAATTTTTTAATTTTTTAATCTAAAAAACACAACCTTTTTTCATATGAAATATAATAAATTAATTAAAATAATAACAAAATAAAATAATATTTTTATATCAACGATTATGTTCGTACATTTATAAACCTAATCTTTTATTAAAATTAAAAGGTTATGTTTTTTTTCTTTTAAAATATCATTTTTAACGAAATGCAATCATTTAATTAAATAAACTTAGGTAATTTAAACATTTTAAACATTACATTTATTTTCATAAAAAAGTAATATTTGATATAAAATATTGTGTTTATGTTCAAAAATATAATTTTTAACTATATTTGATTTTATTTTTTAATAATAAAAATGTGAATTTTTATTATATTTGATTTCATTTTTTTTTTGGTTTAATACTACATTTATGTCTAAAAAAACATTATTTTTAACACATAATAAAAAATATTATAATAAAATTTTTTATTATATACTCTAACATTTTTTTCAAACTAAATATAAAAATCTCACATTCACGTTAGACAAAGAATCATCTCTTATAAAAAATTCACACTTTCTCGATTTTTTTTTTTTTTCAAAATCTAAAATTCGGCTATAAAATTAAAGCGGATCCGACAAAGAAGCCGGCCAAGCAAATAATCAAGTGCCAAATCTCAGACAAAAAAGGGCCAAGCAAGAGTGGGATATGGGACCCACCTTTAAAAGCCCCACTTTCCTCCGTCACTTTCTAACCGAAAGATCAAAATCAAAATCAAAATACCCCAAAAAAGAAAAAAAGAAATACATCGCAAACTAAAATTCATTCTTCGAACTTGGAAAAACCGGTGGTGAATCTCTGCTCTGTTTACCGGTGACAACGCGTTCTCTCAGGCTTTTCTTCCTCGATTTCCGATTTCTCCTTTACTTTCATTAAATCCATAGTAAGTTCTCTATTTCTTTTTTATAAAGGAATTAATTGATAGTTTGATCTGGGCTGTTATAGTGGTTACTTTTTTTATTCCTATTAGGAAATTAAGAGGGAAAATTTTGTTTTCTGATTAGAAATTCTTGAGTCTGATTCCAATTTCATTATTATGGCTTGCATTTTCATAATTCAATTCAATTCAATTCAAAGCAAGAAGATTTTGATCATTACGTTAAAAAAATAATTAACTGAATTGAAACTTTATTGGAATTGATGAGAGATTTTTCTCTCTGTAGCTGCCATTGTCGCCATTGCACCAAGCATACATCTTATTCTACTGGCCAAAACCAAAAGAAACCCATGACTTACAGTATAGGGGCAAATGATTTTATCTTTTCATTTTTCTTTTTTGTTCCGTTTCTAAATTTAATATTGAAGATATCTTTGTGATCGATGATCCTTTGAGTCATAGTGTCTGATCATCAAACTTGGATGCTCACTTTTAGTCCTAGTGTTGGTCTGAAACTCAGATACTTACTTCTGTGTCGGAGTGTCAATCATAAATCTTAGATACTCATGATCACTTGGTTTTCTGATAGTGCTTTGGGTTTGTTCTCATATTCTGGATTGGTTTCTGGTTTTCTGTGTGAAGCTACACTGTGAATGTAATTTTGCTGTGTATATAACTTGATAGCGTTGAATGAGCATAGACTAGATACTCATAAATTATTGGGTGTTTCTTCTTCTTCTTCTTCTTCTTCTTTGGAAGAAGAAGGATTTGACGTTTTATTTAGTGCTTCATGGTTCTCTGATCTGGTATTCCGATGCAGTCCTTCGCTCTAATTGCTGGTGCAATTTAAGAGCTTTGGTAAAACTGTTAACTAAAGCTAAAAGGTTGGTGAATTAAGCTAAAGTTAATGATGTGCCTTTAAGATTGGAAAATTATTAAGAATTGTGTAAATTTCCTTCTGTTTGAAGGTAGCCTAAGCAACATTCTTTCTGTTATTTTTTTATTAATCCTACCAATATTTTCTTTTGGTTTAGATATCTGAAAGATGTCTGGTCAAAACCAGCGCTTGAATGTGGTTCCAACTGTTACAATGCTTGGAATCATGAAAGCTCGGCTTGTGGGTGCTACAAGAGGTCATGCACTTCTCAAGAAGAAGAGTGATGCCCTAACTGTACAATTTCGTCAGATTCTTAAGAAGATAGTCTCTACAAAGGAATCAATGGGAGAGATTATGAAAACCTCTTCATTTGCCCTAACCGAGGCTAAGTATGTTGCGGGTGAGAACATCAAACATATTGTCCTTGAGAATGTTCAAAATGCTTCTCTTAAAGTTCGATCCCGACAAGAGAATGTTGCTGGAGTGAAGCTTCCCAAGTTTGAGTATTTCACAGAAGCTGAGAGCAAGAATGATCTGACTGGCTTAGCCAGAGGTGGGCAACAGGTCCAACAGTGCCGTGCTGCTTATGTGAAAGCAATTGAGGTTCTAATTGAGCTTGCTTCTCTTCAGACATCATTCTTAACACTTGATGAGGCAATTAAGACCACAAATCGTAGGGTTAATGCTTTAGAGAATGTTGTGAAACCAAGGTTGGAGAATACGATAAGTTACATCAAGGGAGAGTTGGATGAGCTTGAAAGGGAGGATTTCTTCAGGTTAAAGAAGATTCAAGGTTATAAGAAGAGGGAGATACAGAGACAGCTTGCTGCTGCCAAGCAGTTTGCGGAGGATCAGTTTGCAGAGAAGGTTTCCTTGCAAAAAGGGGTTTCAATAAATTCAGCTCATAATTTGCTATCTGCAGCCAGGGAGAAGGATGAAGATATTATTTTTTAATGAAGAGGTTAATTAGTCCGTATTTTCTTTCCTAGGATTTGTAGGTTTCTTCTATCTGGTGCTTGTTTGATAGCGGGAAATTCCTTGAATTATTTAGTGTTCTTGAATAAATGTTATATGTGTGTCTCTAGTTTTTGTGTATTACTATTAATGGGCAGACATTCACCTTTTCCTTTTATGACAATAAAGATACACCATTTCAAGGCTGTAATGTATTTTGCCTGAATGGTCTTTTGTCGACCAATGCTGTATATTTTGTGGAAGCTCTCACAGTATGCATAAATATATCTGACATCATATCATCATTACTGTCGTTCACATACCGAGTCCGTAGGACCTACAACTTGGCTTAAAGTGGATTTCTGGAAAACAGTTGCTTGGTGCACATACGGTGTGCGCGAGCGTGTGCAGCTGGCTATATTTTGTGACTACATTCTACGTGTCATAGATTTATTTGGTTACTATATATATATATATATGTATGTATTTATACATCTAAAATCATTCTGCATTTTTAGTTGCATCAGTGGAAAATTAGATTAAATATATATTATAAATAGATAATCATCAATTAAGTTTTTAATGCAATTAATTTCTCATTATTTCTTCAAAATGGTTGGGAAAGGCTCAGGGTGAACAAACAAGATATAAGCAAGAGACCAGGGTCTTGTGCACGCCATAGGTTTAGACTCGTGAATGGTTGGATATTACCTAGCCCTAGTGGTTATGCAGCTTGGGCATACTGGTACTTGGATCACCCAGAAACGTTTACGGGGGATCATCCTATCTAGACGGCCCAGGTTTTATAGAATAAAAGGCATTTCAATTATCTAATAGGTTTGGGAAAAACCTCATGGCTAAATTAAGAATGTGGTTATTCCATCTAGCAGAGGTCGAGAACAAAGCTAAAGAGCTGTTCGAAGGCAACTGCAATAATTCATTGCCTTCACTTGTCAACTTGAACCTGGTTGCAGATTGATATAGTATGTACTCAAGGTATTATATAAGCTGCTTGACAATTAATTGGAATAGCGAGTTAGATTTAATTTTGGTCATAAAATAGAATGCTAGTAGATGTCATTGGAAACAATCAGAACCTGCTATATATAGCATGAATTGAAATACTAGTATAATTCCTGGAAGAGGACGTTAAGCTTTGATCTAATGCGTGCTTCGTAATGGTTTGAGTAATAAACTAAACCACTTTTCATATTGTCACATGAATGAAACGGCAAGATGAGTGAGAGCACTTTTATAGGTTTGATGTGAGGCCGTTCGAATACAAAATCTGACTTCTTACAACTACTTGGAATAATATTGATAAGCTACAAGTCTACAAAACAACTACATCGGATTTAACCAATCACCATATTTATCAAAGCAATTGTTACTAATAATAATGGGTCTTCAGCAGAATATTTTGGAGGGCACGTTGATAAACAAGACATGTCCCTGAAAGCACCTAAAACAGGTATTATGTAATATTGCAGGAAAATTGGGACTATATTATGAGTGTAAGAATTCACCAGAGTTAGTGTGCCTTGTCATTTTTCCAATTTACCAGCTCCTATAATATTACTCTATGGCTTTCAAAAACCTGGTGCATCAATCGAGCACTGCTCTTCAAGATGCATCAATGTATGAGAGGCATGAGGAATGGATGGCCCGCTATGGACAGACGAGTGTACCGTGACAATACTGAGAAGGAGAAACGTTTCAAGATTTTCAAACAAAATGTGGCACGCATAGACTCTTTCAATAGCGCCAACGACAAGCCTTACAAGCTCGGTGTCAATCAATTTGTAGATCTTACAAACGATGAGTTCACTGCTTCTAGAAACAGGTTCAAGGGCCATATATATGTGTTCTAACAAGGCTACAAATTTCAAATATGAAAATTTCACCGCATTACCTTCTACCGTGGTGTGTGTTAGGAAAATGGGGTCCAGTCCCATGTAAGTGGTTTTGGACCAAGTAAAGGCCATGGGCCTTGATCTTTTATTTTACACAGAGCCCTAGCTACTTAATAAAAAAGAGGTGGGGTTGTTTAAGGTGTGTGTCGACAACCAAGCAGAGAAAGAAGAAAAGCCAGGAAAAGCAGAGAGAGAAAAAGGAGAAGGGAGAGTTGATTAAACGGAAGTCGATCCGTGGTCCGATTGAGTTGGAACCTTGTCAGGAGGTTTATGATTCAGAGTTATACATTCTGAACGGTGAAGATCGGGTTTGAAGCTCTCTAGGAACAAATCCAGGGTGTATTTGTTGAGTCACTTATTTGGTGAGATTTCTCCAATTGTTTCTCTAGTTGTTGATTAGCTCTAGTTTTAGCTAGAGAAGAACTTTGTATAACTATTATTTGATAGTGAAGATTTTTCTGGTGGCCCGTGGTTTTTCCCTCTACACTGGAGGGTTTTTCACGTAAATCTTGGTGTGCTTTATTTTTCCTGTGCATTTGATTATTGATTGTTGTCTATTGCTTCTGTATTGTTGTGATTATTGCTTCAGGCGCAACAAGTGGTATCAGAGCGAGGGTTATTTTGAGACATCGATACAGAAGCATCCCAGGATAGAAGTAAATTCTGTTTGAGATCATGGAGGGTGATACAGGTTCCATGATAAAATTGACAGCATCAAATTATTCAATTTGGAAGCCTATGATGGAGGATCATCTATACTGCAAAGATTTGTATGAGCCAGTATTGGGTGATTCGGCTAAACCAGCAGATATGAAAGATGAAAGCTGGAAGAAGCTAGGTAGAAAGACGCTGGCTACAATCAGAAAATGGGTTGATATCAACGTGTTTCATCATGTAGCGCAGGAGTCAGATGCTCACATTGTTTGGGAAAAATTGGCAGCATTGTATGAGAGAAAAACAGGTATGAATAAAGTTATGCTTGTTAAAAAGATTGCAACTTGTAAGTCTAAACATAAATCTAAGTTTAGAGGTAAAGTGAAGTGTTTCCATTGTGGTAAGGCTGGTCATATAAAACGAAATTGTAGAATCTTGAAGCAAGAGCGAAAAGATGAGAAAGGCAAGAGTTCAGATGATGGCAATGTTGCAGCAGTGAATTCAGATAGTGATTCAGTTACTTTGATTTGTACACATGGTGATTGTAATCATGTTAGCGATCCCGGCATTGAGTGGATAGTTGACACAGGAGCGGCATATCATTGTGTTCCTAAGAGAGAGTTGTTTACAACTTACAAAGCAGGAGACTTTGGTTGTACCAAGATGGGAAACAAGAGTGTGTCGCAGATTGTTGGGATTGGTGATATTGGTGTACAAACTAGTACAGGCTGCATGTTGACTTTAAGGGATGTCAGACACATTCCAGATATGAGAATGAACTTGCTTGCTATTAATGTCCTTGATAAGGAGGGATATGAAAGCCGACAAAAGAATGGACAGTGGAAGCTTCTCAAAGGATCTATGGTAGTTGCAAGGGGAAAACTATGCTGCACAATGTATAAGACATGGATGCAATTGAACGGTAACCAGGTAAATACCGTTGAAAATGATGCTTCAGTAAACTTGTGGCACAGGAGGCTGGCACACATGAGTGAAAAAGGGTTACAGGTTTTGGCAAGGCACTCTCTCATTCCCTTGACCAAAGGTATGTCTCTCGATTCATGTGATTATTGTTTGTTTGGTAAGCATCATAGAGTTTCTTTTCGTAAAAGTTCTCAGAGAAAAGAAAATATATTGGAATTAATTTATTCTGACGTATGTGGTCCCATTGAGGTTGAGTCATTAGGTGGTAGCAGATATTTTGTTACTTTTATTGATGATGCTTCACGTAAGACTTGGGTGTATATGTTGAAATATAAAAGTCAGGTACTGCAGTATTTTCAAAAATTTCATGCCATGGTTGAAAGGATGACAGGGTTACCCTTAAAGTGTATTCGAACTGATAATGGTGGGGAATACACATCTAAAAGCTTTGAAGAGTATTGCTCAAAGCATGGGATCAGGCATGAGAGGACAGAACCTGGAACACCGCAGCATAATGGTATAGCTGAAAGAATGAATCGCACCATTGTGGAAAAAGTCAGATGTATGTTGAAGATGGCAAAATTACCAAAGCCATTCTGGGGTGAAGCAGTCAACACAGCTTGTTATTTACTTAACAGGTCACCATCAGTTCCTTTGGGCTTTGACATTCCAGAAAGAGTGTGGACAGGAAAAGATGCTTCATACTCTCACTTAAAAGTTTTTGGGTGTAAAGCATTCATGCATGTACCAAAAGAGCAGAGGTCAAAGCTTGATAGTAAAGCTACACAGTGTGTGTTTGTAGGATATGGTGATGAGGAATTTGGCTACAGGGTATGGGATCCAGTAAAGAGAAAGACAGTCAGAAGCAGAGATGTGGTCTTTCATGAAAAAGAAACCATAGCAGACCTTGAGAAAAATGAGAAGACTACACGAGTTACTGTTGAGTGTGATGTTTCAACACCGACAGGGATTTCACAGGAAAGAGCCACAGATGGTGAAAATGAGCCAGAAACAGAACTTGAGGATATGAATGAGCCAGCCATAGTTGGTGATGAGCCAGATGCTATTAGTTTTGAGCAGGGGGAGCAATCCTCTCTACCTGAGAGTGTTGAGCAGGGGGAGCTACCTTCAGCATCAAGTGATGTAGAGTCTCAGCTCAGGAGATCTACTAGAGAGCGCAGGCCATCTACCAGGTATCCAAGTTCAGATTTTATTTTAGTTACCAGTGAAGGAGAGCCAGAAAGCTTTCAAGATGTGCAGGCTACTCCGGATAGAGAGCACTAGTTAAAAGCAATGAAAGAAGAGATGGAGTCATTGCGAAAGAATGGTACTTATGATCTTGTTAAACTTCCAACAGGGAAGAGGCGATTAAAGAATAAATGGGTGTTCAAGTTGAAAAAGGATGGTGACAAACTAGTGAGGTACAAAGCTCGATTGGTAGTAAAAGGTTTTTCTCAGAAACCAGGCATCGATTTTGATGAGATTTTTGCTCCAGTTGTAAAAATGAGTTCTATTCGAGTGGTACTGGGATTGGCAGCTAGTTTGAATCTTGAGCTTGAGCAACTTGATGTTAAAACTGCATTTTTGCATGGTGATTTGCAGGAGGACATTTATATGAATCAGCCTGAGGGTTTTGAAGTGAAAGGGAAAGAGCACTTAGTTTGCAAATTGAAGAAAAACTTGTATGGCTTGAAACAAGCTCCGCGACAGTGGTACAAGAAGTTTGATTCTTTTATGATGAGTCATAGCTATAAAAGAACAGCAGCAGATTCTTGTGTGTATATTAAACAATTCCCTAATGGTAACTTCATTATCCTATTATTATA